ACTGTGCATGAGGCCTGAGTTGGAGCTCCGGTGCAGTAAAAGAGAAACAAAAAAAATTCAATTGTGGCAAAACTACAACAACACTACAGAACCTCAAACCTACATTTTGTGCAGTAGGTTTAATTTTTCCTATGTTCTATTCCCTGTGAAATGATTTTACCATATAGTACTTTGAAATGTTCATATTTGGGATATTTTAGCTATCTACCCCAATTATTCTATAGCAGGAAATTAATGTCACTTTTTTAAAAAAGAAAAAAAAATCTTTTTTATTTTTAGTTGTATATGGACACAATACCTTTTTTAAAATTTTTTATTTTTGTGTTGCTAAGGATGGAACCCAGTGCCCCACACATGCGAAGCAAGTGCTCTACCACTGAGCCACAACCCCAGCCCCTAGTATCATTTTAATAGTTATTAAAAACCCCTAAATATTACACATAAAGTACTCAAGCTCAGCATCTGTGATACTTTCCTAGGGGCTGTGCAGTAATGACAGGAGCCAGGATTCAAGCCAAGGTCTATCTATGGATTTTTCCATAATACTAAGGTACATCTTTAATCAGTGAACACAAATACCCACAATATGAGACACGGAATGTCATTGGGATGAAGTCACTGTATCCTTCAAGGGACTATGAAAAACGACCTTGCTCTCTGCAAGGCTGTCCAGGGAAGACTGGAGTTTGAAGGAAGGATAACAGTTGGAGAGAAGGAAAGAAATGGCATGCACAAAAATGTGGGAATAAATAAAAGTATGACCTGGAGGTACTATACTCTGGCTTTCTGATCCTATCAAAGTATGTACAGTACAAAGTAAAGTGCTGAGCTCAATACAAAGTCTGAATAGAGAAGAAAAGGAATATAAGATCTAGAATACAAATGTGAGCCCAGATAAAGACTTAATTCTAGAGGCTGGGGCTGTAGCTCAGTAGCAGAGTACTTGCCTAGCATGCATGAGGCCCTGGATTTGACCTTCAGCACCACATAAAAATAAACAATTAAAATTAGGGCATTCTGTCCATCTACAGCTATAATTTTTTTTAAAAAAAAGACTTAATTCTAGTGAACAAATCTGTACTTAATATGGCAGTTAGCAGGGAGTCTGAGAAAATTTTTCACAGGATTCTGCTTTAGGTAGTTTCCTTAGATGCTTCATCTTAGCTATAGTTTCCTAGAATCAAGACTGAGAAAGTGATTTATTGAGGGGTTCTCTCAAGTGAACCCTTTAAGAAAGTAAAGGAAGCAGGAGAAGACAGAGAAGCTAGGCAAAGATATGTCTTTGGTTTAAGGCTCCTCTCAAGATGATTCCATACAGAGCTCTGGAATGTGGACAAGCAGCTCAGAGCCCAGTCAGTCATGGGCCAAAGACCAAGTTAGGGATCTCTGGTTATGATAAATCCCACTGGGTTGAGATAACCCTGGGGAGAAGAGTAAGATCATAAGCACCTAACGTGGTAGAGGAAGGATAGATCACACTGCCTTAGTAACAGGGAACTGGGATGACACTAACAGTGTCTACTATATGGCGTTTTGAAGGGTAAATTCAAAGTATAGGAGCCTGAATATTATATATATATATATATATATAATTATATATTAATAAAATTAAAATAGTCATATATTAATAATTGTATCAATTATACATTAATAAATTATATATATAATAAAATTACACATACTCATATATATACAAAGTGCTACCATGTGAAATTAGATAGTGGCTGTATAGGCAGAATAATGACCTCTCAAAAATGTCTACATCCTAACCCCTAAAACCTGTGGGCCACATAGCTAGAAAATGGCAAGACATTGAATAATGGTAATGGTAATAAATATGTTCCATAACATAGCCAAAAGAACTCTGTAGGATTAAAGCTGAAGACCTTGAGATGGGAAGATTATCTGGATTAGCCATGTGGCCCCAACTTAACATGATTCTGGAAAAGCAAAGAGCCTTTCCATATGAAATGAGAAATGAGACATTGCTGGCTCTCAGATATAGCAAGGGGACCAGGCATTAAAGAACAGAACAACTTCCAGAAGCTGGGAAAAGGCAGAGAAAGAGAATTCCCCTAGAACCTTCAGGAAGGACTGCAGCCCCCGAGGAACACCTCAACATTACCTCAGAGGGACTCATGCTGAACTTCTAAACCACAGAACTTTAAGGTAATAAATTGGTGTAGTTTTAACTTATTATAAAACCAAGGAAAACCAAATCCTGGCTAAAGAAGGAAGTGAAAAGACTAAAGAATAAGTAATGATAGCGTTCTCACAATTTTAAAAAGGCCCTAACAGTAATATTACTCTTTTTTTTTTTATTTAAGTAGAACTAAAAATTCTTATTACTTTAATCAGAATTTGTCAACTAACTTGAAAGGTCACAGAAAAAAAAATGATTTCAACAAAATGACAAGTGAATTGGAATGTGAGAATAAAAGAGCAATGTTTTATAAAGGTTAAGAAGAATACATCTTTAATGAAACCTCAAAAACATGAAGGGAAGATTAAAAGGAAGGGTCTGTAATTACTTTCCTTATTACATTGAAGACACAGGGGCCAGGCCAGCACAAACCGCAAAACACTCTGATTGACTGTTTCTTGGCAGCTGCCTGAGCTTCACTTCTGCCTATTCAGGAAAGTTCCGGACTGTGAGCTTCATGGTCACCAGGGGGTGCTATAGGACAGTTTCTCCCACTCAGCCAAGGGCGCTCTCCAGGCAAGCAAAGATTGGTGGCCATAGCCCTGGCACCCTTGAAAATCAAATGCAAGAAGAGTAGGATCAAGTTTTACTCATTTATTTTTTTTTTTTGCACTGACCTAGATATTTTTCAATAACAATGTTATTTATGATAACTGTCGGCATCCTAAATAAAAATGAAAATAAATGTGCAAAGAAATTTTAGGAATTTCCATAAAGTTTTCAAAAATACAAATATTATGTAAGAAAATGAAAACTGGCAGTGCCTTTCAATTTCATTAAATGGACACTTTCCTGACCTAAGGCTGAGAAGAAAGAGAGTGTGAGGGGAAGGATATGTCCTGAGGATGGTACTTAACCAAGTGTCAGGGTATTCACATCTTTCCCAGTGAGAGTTACATCCATGTCAGCACAAGGAATAATAATTTTTTTTTTCTCACTGAAAATGGTACAGACATCAATGCCACCACAAGACAGAGAACAGGGCAAAGGGGAGACGAGAACCAAGAAGAGGAACAAGGTACCATACAAGGTACAGTCAGCCAGGGTTTTGCAGACTATATTGGAAAAAGCAAATGAATTTAGAAGTGATGATGATTATATGTAGTACTTAAAATGAACATAGTTCACAAATGCGAGGCATAAAAATCTTAAGTTTTTGAAAATTGCAAGGGAGGTCGTGGCATAAGGACACTAACAGGGTAAAACAACGAAGGACACAGAGAGCAGGGCAGGAATTGCTGAAGAAATCCAGATCACACCTGCCCCTCATCACCCAGGCTATTCTATATAGTCAAGATCTAGTTTTGTATGGCACTAGTACAGATAGAAACCAAACTAGTCTTAAAACATTATGATGATTTATTACATTATCTGAATATATTAATGTATATGCCTATGTTTTATTCATTTTTTTAGTGAGTCAGAAATGCATTTTTATGGTGCAAAATTCAACGGGTATATTCCTATTTCAGGTAGAATACAAACTTTATTGTTTCTGTTAATACAATTTTTATATTGTAGGTTATTTTAAAGTGTCATGATTCAAATGATTCCAATTTTGTACAATAGTTTCTATCATGTTCTTTTAATCATTCTATCTAGGCACCAAGCCAGATTTCAATATAGTTTTTGTTTAGACAGATATCTAAACAGATAGTCATCAAATATTGATGATGGCTATATTTCTAAGTGCTTTTCCCTTTTATAACTATATTTCTGATGCCTGATTTTTTTCATCCAAAAAATTATAACAGACTGAATACAGAAACAAATAAGGAAATTCAACAGTTTTCTGCACAGCCAGATCTTAAAGAGGTTTCCAAAAACTTGAACAAGGTAACTTTCTCACTAATTATTTTGCTTTGGAAAATAAAGCATTTTCGTACATGTATGTTATTCGTGTTAATGTAGTGGTTTTAGTCATTACTTCTTTTAAAATGATATAAGCATGTGAAATTTTTACCAGTTTTAATTTCTAACATGGAAAATATTGATGGATATAGTAATCAGCATAATTCAAAGCTGTTTGGGATCCTTCCACAATTTACATAAGGGGTCCTGACACTAAAAAATAAAATTAAAAAATTGGAAACTTCTATCCCAGTGAATCAAATCTCCCTCACAAAGTATCAACTCATAAAAACATACTTAATAGAGGATTCAAACAAATGATCCTACAGATCATTATGTTATGTTATCCACCACCTGACAAATTTGGTCTTTCCCTAGGTTTTTCCAATTTTGGGAGGCATCACCTCAGTTTACCTCCTTCATGATTTCCTGAATCTAGGAATCATCTTTGACTAATTTTTCTGCAACTCCCACAGTCAATCCATTGGTGGTGCTACTGACACTGGTGTGAAAACACATTCTTAATCAAACCTCTCCCAGCAACTTCACAACTACCACTGTTCAAATCATCATATTGTCTCAGCATATTAGAAAACTGAAAACTTAATGACTGAGTAAGTGTCCATGTCGTTGTCATCATCATCATCATCATCATCATAATTTATATACAGCCAAAATCCAAACAATTAACATAATAGAATGTTGCTAGTTTTCATTTTTAATGCAGTCACTTAGTGGTTCTGTTCTCTCTAACCAAATTTCAAAGGCCTTAACTCCAAAGAATAGGTAATACATATTCATAAGAGAATCTATATAACTTTGAAAGATTTAAAATGTTAACACTTAAATTATATTTTAACATTTTTATGTTTTAACATTAATTTAGATAGCAGATTAAAACAGAAATTACACATTTTCTTTTCATTAGGTATGTAGTTCAACTTACCTTATCAAGTTCATCTGAAATTGCAATACCTGGGATTCAAAAGAGATTTGTAGAAAAAAATATTTTAGAAGCAATCTTCAACAACCCAATATTACAAGTAGAAACAAAACTTCATCTGTAAAACTAGTGTATCTCCCAACTTAAATTTTCTTTTCATTTGTTCTTCAAAATGATGCAGCACATACTGTCTACTAATGAAAACAAATTAGGGATTGAAGTCAACTATGACAGCCATGAAATGCTGAAACAGGGCAAGCAAGTTATGCAAGGACAACAAACAAGAACCCCATCTCTTACAGGTTGGTAGAGGCAGAGCAAACTGGCAGAACAACTGTGGAACCACCTTTATGTTATGGTGACAATAGAGTATACTACTTATTCTGTTACAATTTTGTTTCTTAAGAACTGATTTACTCTGTAGCATTGTTCTACCCGTATGTTTTGGTGCCAATACCATTGTTGTTTTTGTTACTACGGCTCTGTAGTATGGTTTAAGGTCTGGTATAGTGATGCCACCTGCTTTACTCTTCCTGCTAAGGATTGCTTTAGCTATTCTGGGTCTCTTATTTTTCCAGATAAATTTCATGATTGCTTTTCCATTTCTAGGAGGAATATCATTGGAATTTTGATTGGAATTGCATTAAATCTGTATAGTGCTTTTAAAAGTATGGTTATTTTGATACTATTAATTCTGCCTATCCAAGAGCAAGATAGATCTTTCCCAGAGACTAACCCACAAAATTACAATTATCTTATATTAGACAAAGGTGCCAAAAACATGCATTAGAGAAAAGATAGCCTCTTCAACAAATGGTGCTGGGAAAACCGGAAATCCATATGCAACAAAATGAAATTAAACCCCTATCACTGGCCATGCACAAGACTCAACTCAAAATGCATCAAGGACCCAGGAATAAAATCAGAGACTCTGCGTCTAATAGAAGAAAAAGTAGGCCCTAATCTTTATCATGAGGGATTAGGCCCCAACTTCCTTAATAAGACTCCTGTGGCACAAGAATTAAAATCAAGAATCAATACATGGGACAGACTCAAACTAAAAAGTTTCTTCTCAGCAAAAGAAACAATCTGTGAGGTGAATAGAGAGCCTACATCTTGGGAACAAATCTTTATACCTCACACATCAGATAGAGCACTAATCTCTAGGGTATATAAATAACTCAAAAAGTTAACACCAAAAAACAAATAACCCAATCAATAAATAAGCCAAGACCTGAACAGACACTTCTCAGAAGACGATACACACTCAATCAACAAATATATGAAAAAATGTTCATCATGACTAGCACTTAGAGATATGCAAATCAAAACTATTCTAAGATTCCATCTCACTCCAGTCAGAATGGCAACTATTATGAACACAAACAACAATGATCGTTGGCAAAAATGTAAGGGAAAAGGTACACTCATATGTTGCTGGTGGGGCTGCAAATTGGTGCAGCCAATATGGAAAGCAGTATGGAGATTCCTTGGAAAATTGGGAATGGAACCACCATTTGACCCAGCTATCCCTCTCCTCGGTCTATACCCAAAGGACTTAAAAACAACATACTTCAGGGACACATACACATCAATGTTTATAGAAGCACAATTCACAATAGCTTAATTGTGGAACCAACCTAGATGCCCTTCAATAGATGAATGGATCAAAAAAAATTGGCATATATTCACAATGGAATATTACTCAGCAATAAAAGAGAATTTATTCATTTTATTCATGGCATTTGCAGGTAAATGGATGGCGTTGGAGAAGATAATGCTGAGTGAAGTTATCCAATCCTAAATAACCAAATGCCGAATGTTTTCTTTGATATAAGGAGGCTGATTCATAGTGGAATAGGGAGCAGAAGCATGGGAGGAATAGATAAACTCTAGATGGGGCAGAGGGCTTGGAGGGGATGGGAGGGGACATTGGGTTATAAATGATGGTGGAATGTGATGATCATTATTATCTAAAGTACATGTATGAAGACAAGAATTGGTGTGAATATACTTTGTATACAACCAGAGATATGAAAAATTGTGCTCTATATGTGTAATCAGAATTTTAGACCTATCAACACATCTGCAGATTGCCAAGACTTTGCTACACTCACACACAGGTCACTCAGTTGCTATCTACCCACTTCACAATGCCATCGCTGGGCTCCCCCAACCTCACCAGACACCCAGGTGCTGAAAGCAGACTACCGCCATCTTGGCTCAACATTGTCGCCATATTAGGCGGGGGCAGTTCCCAGATTGGATCTCCAGGGGCCAGTGAATTTTCATAGAAATCACCAGTGCTGCAACCACTTGCCCAGAAATCAGAGCCTCTGGGCTCCAGTAAGTCTCAGGACTCCAGACCCAAAGCCCACAGTTCTAGCCCACGTGCAGCTCACAACTGGCTTAGCAGAAACACCTATTAGCACTTCTGCAGAATTCTAGACTGCACTCTGCTCCCATGCAGGTCACTTGGCTGCTACCTATCCATAGCACAAGGCCATCGCCCAGCTACCCCCACATCACCAGACACCCCAGAGCTGGAAGCAGACCAATTGCATCTTGGAAAACTTTCCTCGCCATTTTGTGGTGGGCGTGACTATCAGATCAGATTGCCATTTGAGCAGGTACCTGATTTCCAATTCCTACCCCTTCCCCAACAGCATTAACTTGGCACAGTGGCCACCCAACACAAGAACAGCTCTCAGTTGTATGGGACTGCAGTGCAAAAAGGGTGCTGCCCGCCTGGTGTGAGCCTTGGGGTGAGAGGTCGTGCAGTTGGGACCTGATAAATAAGAAAGAGGAGAGGACTAAAGTTTGGAGCATAACAGAGAGATCAGGATTTGGGAAATCTCCAGGCAAGAGAGGGAAACGATACTAGGGGCTCAAGTCAGTGAGTGGTCACAAGAAAAGACCCATGAGGTGCTATTTCCTGCTGGAGCTGTTGGGCAGAACTCCCTGCTCCAGATGCTCCACAACAAGTCCAGTCTTCTCACCCTGGTTACCTACACCATCCTGAGGGCAGAGACACCTACTGGATGAGACAATCCAACCTACTGGATGAGAAGAGAAAGAAACGGATCTCTAATAAGTATCTTTTTTTTCCCTCTTCTTCTTTCTCTTCTACACTTCTATCCTCTGGCCCTCAGATCCCCAACCTATGTAAAACCAAGAACTTTGCATGAAATAGGACATTGAGGTCTGAGTCACTTGAATAATATAATATAGAGGAATTGCAAAAGCCCCATTTTACTTTTTCTTCTATTTTTCTTTCTTTCTTTTCCTTTTTTCCTCTTCTTTCTTCACCCTCCAAATTATACTATTTAAACATCCTGTATTTTTCTAAAAACATATGTGTGTTGTTTTATGTACTCTACTGTCTTCCCATGTAATTGTCTACCCCAAATTACCTCCTATCTATTTTCCTGCTACCAACCCTCTTCACTAGATTTCTCCTTCACATTTCCTTAGATATATTAACTCTATACCCTCACATTTTCTCCCCTCAATATTTTGTCCCATGTTTGACTCCCAGTTCATTGTCCACCACCAGAAACTATAAACTTTTTTTTGAAACTACTGATTATATTTTAATAACAATTGAATCCAACATTTCTGGACATTGAGACTAAACTGTAAATGTCTTAATAACAACAATTTGTTCATAGGTGATGTATTGTTGATATTGGGATCTGTTAACGTTGTCCTTCCCCACAGAGGAGAGATCTTGGAACCATACAAGAGCACTACAAATCTATAGGGTAAAAACAATAACACACCAGATCCACAGAGCTGGAAAGGAAGAAACGTGAGCAACACGAAAAGACAAGGGTAGAAAATACCACAAACAAATCAAGACAACACATCATTCGAAGCATTGGCAGCTATGGCAGAAAAAAGACAGAGAAAGATTTCAAGATATGCATGGTTAAAATGTTTTGGGATCTCAAAGAAGACATAAGAGAACAAACACAGGCAGTGAAAGATCACTTCAACAATGAGCTACATAAACAAATCCAAGAAGCAAAAGATCACCTCAACAGAGAGATAGAGGTTCTACATAATAAAAACAAACAGAAATCCTGTAAATGAAAGAAATAATGAACCAAATTAAAAACTCAAATGAAAGCATCACCAACAGAGTAGACCAGTTAGAAGACAGGACATCAGACAATGAAGATAAAATCATCTTGAAAAGAACATAGACTACACAGTAAAAATGATAAGAAACCACAAGCAGAACATTCAAGAAATATGGGATAGCCTAAAAAGACCAACTTTAAGAGTTATTGGGATAGAGGAAGGCATAGAGGTCCAAACCAAAGGAATGAACAATCTATTCAACAAAATAATATCAAAAAACTTTCCAAACATGAAGAATGAATTGGAAATCCAAATTCAAGAAGACTACAGTATGCCGAATGTACAAAATCACAATAGACCCACACCAAGGCACATTGTATTGAAAATGTCCAACATACAGAATAAGGAGAGAATTTTAAAAGCCACAAGAGAAAGGAATCAGATTACATATAAGGGAAAACCAATTAGGATAACGGCAGAATTTTCAACACAGACCCTGAAAGCTAGAAGATCCTTGAGCAACATATATCAAGCTCTGAAAGATAATAAGTGCCAACCAAGAATCTTGCAACCAGCAAAATTAAGCTTTGGATTTGAAGATGAAATAAAAACCTACCACGGTAAACAAAAGTTAAAAGAATTTATAGCTAGAAAACTGGCACTACAAAACATCCTTGGCAAAATATTTCATGAAGAGGAAATGATAAAGAACAATGAAAATCAGCAGAGGAAGGTAGTACACTAAAGAAAAAACTAATCAAAGAGGAAAACAAATTCAAGTAAAATAACAAAAATAAACAAATATGGCTGGAAATACAAACCATGTCTCAATAGTAACCTTAAATGTTAATGGTTTAAACTCACCAATCAAAAGGCATAGACTAGCAGATTGGAGCAAAAAAAAAAAAAAAAAAAAAAAAAAGACCCTACAATATGCTGCCTCCAG